GTATGGCCTCCCATTGCTGCTGCCTCCACCGCCACACTGTGGCTCCACACTCTGGTTTTGGCCCCGTGACTGCCCAAATGAGTGAAGTGTGTGGTGATTCTAAGATCGACGGCACTCATCTGCATGTCATACTGACTGACAGTATTATTTCTCTTCCCCAGCAGACTCCAAGGGCATTTAAATTAAAGGTACAGTGTTCTGCACTAATATTAAGTCTCTCTGAAGCCTAGAAACACCCTTTTTTAAGTTAAATTCACAGCGAATATATTCGACTCGAATCGAAATTTTTCCACGTTTTTTTTTTACTTTTTTTCTGACCTCAGAATGGATTAATTGGCTTTCAATGCATTTACAATTTTTTTCGCAATATGAACGGATTAATTGGTTTTCAATGCATTTACAAATTAATTTTTAATCATGTCCTGTACAGTATTTTTGCCTTTAAAGTAATGCACTTTTTATAAAGAGTTTTGAACCAGATAAGACTTTTTTTTACTTTTTTTCTGACCTCTGGAATGGATTAATTGGTTTTCACTGAATTTACTAATTATTTCTTAATCATGTCCCTGTACCAGTATTTGTGCCTTTAAAGTGCACGGTTAGAAAGAGTTTTGAACAGATAAAATACTTTTTTTTTTACTTTTTTCTGACCTCCGGAACGGATTAATGGGTTTTATTCCTATGGGAAACTGCGTTTTGGTTTACAAATTTTTCGCAATATGAAAAAGTCCCACAGAACGCATTACATTCGTAAACCGAGGTAAGCCTGTATTGTTGTCATGCTGTCATTGGCAAATGAATCTAAACCTTTTTTTATAAAACACAATTTTCTTTTCAAAACAGCCAAGATTTACATACATTTTTATAATAGATTCTGTTTCCAACTAAAGAGGAATTCTGTTTTGTAAAAATTAGAATTGTGCGCCAGCATATTGGTATTTCACTGAGTTGGGCTACATTGACACAGGCGATTAGCACAACGGCTGCGATCACTGAGTCTATACAACTGCAATGCCAGGCTGAAATCAGCCGCAGCTATCCATAACTGTTCACACAGCCAACAGTTGCCCGTGGTTAGGGACAGAGAATCATGCTTGGATGCAGTCTGTCTGGTCCCAGCCACAATCAAAGCAGGGTGTGCTATTCACCCATGTAAATCTACCTTAACACAGCTGATCCACATTCACTCTTTTTATTAATACTAAATTGAGCAGAGAGGCTTTTTCTAGGTTCTACCAATCCTAAAGAGGTTATTTTTTATATATAGATTTCAATATGTTTACAGTGATGCCATAAGAATACAAAGCCATTCACATCAGTCTGTATCTGTGAATGACCACAAATATATACTTCTAGGGCAAAACCGATGCAGGTAAACCTACCAGTACATTTTTTAGTTATAGGAAAAAGTCAGAATCCCACAACCCTCTACACAAACACGGGGAGCCTGGTGGGTTTAACAGCTAGGTGTTTGTTTAGGATTTTTACTTTTAGCTTTTTTTTACTTTTAGTGTGGTTATAAAACTGTAACACCAAGTGATCACATCTAGATATATTTTATTGCTCCAATCCCCACTTCCACCCATGTGTTCCGGTTTCACCTGTCCTTCATGTGTGCCCAGCATGGAGTGCAGTAGGAGCTCAGCAAATCTCTGTTTTGCTGATCTACACTTTGAAGAATGAACTTGGAAGTGCATCAGTTTTGAGCACTTTCAGACTCAGCTGCCAATACCTCACCCCACTGTTCAAGTACAATCTGTGTTTACTCAGCTTCAACAAAGTAAAAGAGTGACATTAGGGGCTTTAAAATGAACTCCTTAAAAAGGACCAGCCACCTGAACTATGCTATCACATTGGGTCTGATTGAGCCCCTGGTGATAGTAATAAAGTAAATATTTAAAAAAACCCTGCATGTTTACTGAAAGTTTAATAAAATGTGGGTAAGGTGTGCATGCGTACAAAAACGATGACTGCATCCGCACATATTAGGTATCACCATGTACTCCAGAGTGAGAGCAGTAATTCAATGGCCATCATTTACTTCAACACTTGCCCTCTGGAGGATTTACCCCCCCCCCGTCTTCCTGACCAGGCCATTTTTTGCAATATGGCACTGCATTACTTTAAACTGACAATTGCGCCGTCATGCAATGCTGCACCCAAATAAAATTTGTGTCTTCTTTTTCCCACAATAGAGCTTTTTTTAAGTGGTATTTGATCGCCTGTGCATTTTTTATTTTTTGCTGTTATAAACAAAAAAAATACTGAAAATTTTGATTAAAAAACTATATTTTTGACTTTTTGCTATTAAACATGTCCAGTAAAAAAAATTGAAAAAATCGAATTTTGTCATAAATGTAGGCCAAAAATGTATTCTGCTAACAGGTCGTTGCTAAAAAAAATCTCAATACGTATACATTAAGTGGTTTACATGAACGTTATTGCGTCTACAAATGGCGGTATAGATACTGGAATTTATTTATTTATTTAATAGTAGTAATGGCGGGGCAATCAGTGACTTATAACGGAACTGTGGTGGGCATTCTGACACTGGGGGGAATTTACTAACTGTCCCTGATATCCCAGTTGCACCAATACAGTGATCAGTGCTAATAAAAAGCACTGACACTGTACTAATGACACTGGGCAGGAAGGGTTTAACATCTGGGCGAACAAAGGGTTAACTGTTGTGCTGTGTGTGTTTTACTAGGGAGGCATGCTTTGCAGAGCAATACAAAGCAGCATGCTGGAGCTGACAGGGGAGAGATCTGTATTGTTTACATACAGACCTCTTCCCAGTCAGTGATAGTCGGCGATCATCGGGTGCTGGCGGGGGAATCTGTAGCTGCCAATGGCGGCGCGGGTAGGGCATGCACACCCCCTACCGGAAATACAAGATCACGTATATATATACTTGATTTTTTTGTACAGCCCTGCCACCCTGTAGCAGTAGTTCTACTGTAGGTCGGTCTGGAAGCGGTTAAACTTTAAACTGATAAGCTATAAAGTCTCTTAAGGCATCAGCTATAGACAATTCTGGGTATTGTAGTTTTTTTTGGGCACAGCAATTTTGAGGCTTGACATACTGTATATGGTTTTGTCTATTTCCTCGGTACAACCTCGTCTTTTATATTTTATCAAATATTGAATATAAATTGTGTTTGTGTGCACTAAAAGTAATTTGAGTGTATTTTTACTGAAAATATCACTAAAAAGCCACAGTTTTATTCCACAGGGCCTCTGCTTTTAGGAAAGTATATGTTTTGGGGTTTTAAGTAATCATCCAGCTTAAATGTACATTTTAACATGTGTGCAAAACATTTTAAAAAATTGCTCCAGCAGCAACATTTTAAGTCTGTCCTGTCATATGCCATACACATGATGTGTTTTATTGAAAACAGGTAGGTCCTTTTATCATTAGTGTGAAGTTATAAGCAGTGGATTAAGTAGATAATTATTGGCAGCAGAGAAAAAAATGGAAAATCATAGGAGGTTTTCAGTTTTTTTCCCCCTCTTGTACAACACTAGCACCTCAAAGTTTTTTGCTGCGATTGTTAGAACTTGGACCCTATGGGGAGACTGCACAAACACTCTCAGTAAGCAGCAATCTTTGTTATTGTTAGAATTTTGTGTTTTGGTGCTGTATGAACAAAAAATGGTTAAATGATATATATATATATATATATATATATATATATATATATATATTTATATATTTATTTATTTTATTTTTATATGACTGTTTTTAGACATACTTCTCTTCCTCTTGCTGTTGTCTTGGACATTTATCACTGTTAACATTTCAAACAGATCTATTAGAGAGTTGTATCTATGGTATCAGATGTATTCTCAAGACAGACTGCCATACCAGATATCATTTGTTACAAGATGACACTGGTGGTCACTGAGTAATGGGTACACATCTTCTTTTCACCTTTTTAGAACATTATAAAGTGACCTAGAATGTTACACTCAGCTGCTAAGAGACTGCAGAGAATGGAAGCCGTCCATGGTCACATGCAAAATATGTGCTGTGTTGGTTGTTTTGTTGGTGTTTTTTGAAAAGATCATTACAAGATTCAACACTTGTTGGTTTAAGTTGGTGTGTGTTACAGATAAAATTTAAATGGTGGAAGAATTGTGGAAGAGAAGGTTGAGATATTACCAATAGTAGGCAGCCATCTTGTTTCTTTCATTTTCCCAGCCTATGTTAGAATAAACTACAGGAGGACTTAGCAGGGGTGACACCTCCATTTTTCCTCATCACAGCATCTGCCACTGGAAGCCAATCTATATGTGATGAATTATTGTTGGTTGCTATAGGTGACCACGTTTTGCTTTATTTAACCATTAGCCTACAGGGCACTTATACCCCCTTCCTGCCCAGGCCAATTTCCAGCTTTCAGCGCTGTCACACTTTGAATGACAATTGCACGGTCATGCAACATTGTACCCATATAAAATTTTTATCATTTTTTTGTGACAGACAGAGCTTTGTTTTGGTGGTATTTAATCACCTCTGGGTTTTTTCCTAAACAAACCACTGAAAAAATTTGAAAAAAAAACTTTTTTTCTTAGTTTTTGTTATAAAATTTTGTAAATAAGTGATTTTTCTCCTTCACTGATGTGCGCTAATGAGGGCTGCAGTGATGGGCACTGATAGGCTGCACTGATGGACACTGATAGGTGGCACTGATGGGCACTGATGAGGAGGCACTGGTAGGTGGCACTGATGGGCATTGATAGGCATCACTGATGGGCACTGAAAGGCAGCACTCATATATGGCACTGATAGGCGGCACTGATAGGTGGCACTGATAGGCGGCACTGACTGGCACTGATAGGCGGCACTGACTAGCACTGTTAGGTGGCACTGACTGGCACTGTTAGGTGGCACTGATAGGCAGCACTGACGGGCACTGATAGGTGGCACTGATGCACACTAATAGGCGGCACTGACTGGCACTGATAGGCGGTACTGACTGGCACTGATAGGTGGCACTGAATTGGCAGCACTGATAGGTAGCACTGACTGGCACTGATAGGTGGCACTGATTGGCAGCACTGATAGGTAGCACTGACTGGTATTGATAGGTGGCACTGACTGGCACTGATGGGTGACACTGAAAGGCAGCTCAGATGGGCACTGATATTTGGCATTGATGTGCACTGGTAGGCACTGATATGTGGCATTGATGTGGCACTGATGGGCACTGGCAGGTGGCATTGATGAGCACTGACAGCTGGCACTGATGGACACTGACAGGTGGCACTGATGGGGCTACACAGATCATCAGGGCACACTAATCATCAGTGCCCTGATGATCAGTGTAGATGCCCCCCTCTGAGGGATGCCGATTATCGGCTCTGCTCTCCTCTTGAGCTGTCAGTGTGACAGCTTGTGAGGAGAGAAATGCCGATAACCAGCATTTCCTTATTTACATGCAATCAGCTGTGATTGGATGATCACATAGCCGAGCCGACATCTTCGGCTCTTTCCGTTGATCAGTGATCCACTGTGTCCAAGGGACACAGCGTACCATGGATCGCCGCGTTGCGTGCTCCCGGAGCCGTGCATGTGCGGTTAGAATGGGACGACCTCGTATGTCGTCCTCCCAGAATGAGAGAACCGCCTTGCTCCCATCATTTCACTATATGGCGGGCGGGAGGAGGTTAAAGCAGGGTTTCTCAACTAGGGTTCCTCCAGAGGTTGCTAGGGGTTCCTTGAGCAATAAGCAATTCTGCCTCTCAGATTAGTAACCACTGACGCAAATTATCTTTTTAGCTATCTAGGGGGGGATTATTCCCAATGACAACAAATGTAAGGAGCAGTCTTCTCACTGACCACCACAATAATGTACTGTGAGCTATAAAATTAATAATTCTTAGCAGGGCTTCCCTGGAGCCAAAAAGTTATATCTATGGTTCCTCCATGTTAAAAAGGTTGAGAAATGTGTATTTAAAGTAACTCTGTAGAGTACAAAAAAACTATTATACTAACACAGGGTCATACTTTGTTACAAAAAGCCAGTTGAATGTGCCACTGGGGCCCCTGAAATATGGTGACCTGTGGGTGGAGAAAGAGTTGGCACAACCCCTCCCCCATCTCATTATACAGTGCTTGGTGGGTAAGTGACTATCATCAGGCCTTAGCATTGCCATGGGGCAGGGGAGACAAGCAAAAGCCCATTGAAATACCAACTTTTAGACGATGGATATTTGCAAAGGAACACTGAGCAATGGCTGAGCAGGCCTATTACTACTACCTACTAATTCTATGACTACTGGTTGACAGCACTCTTGGGCACCCCAAATATCCATGTGTATGGTGCAAGCTGCATCCAAAGAGTCTAGATCAGATTTGTCTACACCTTTGAATGTTCTCAAATGCCTATAGACAGCTTTAGTCATCAATGAAAGTAAAACGTTTGGAGTAACATTTATAGTATTTACTAACTAACCTTAAATTATTAGCTTTGTATGTAAGGTTCTGCTTTAGGCCTGACCAAGAGATCTAATTTGTTTTATAGCTTATATTTGTAATATATTCGGGTACAAATGTAAATATACTATATAGAAATGTATAAGTCTATTCAAATGTCATTTAGACAGTTATTTAATGCATAGCTGCATGTCAATTGCCTTTCACAAGTGTATAGACACTTGAATTCCATGTGCCAGTTCTTAACTTACTGTTGTGTGCATTTTTTCCAGCAAGCATACTTCTACCGGAGTATTAAACATGTCATTCCTGAGAATCATGCATTTCAATACTTGAGGGAATTTTTAGGTGGCACATCAAGAGTGCTACAAAAAAGCTTCACTGATTGGCTGTCATGGCTCACACCTTGGATGGAAAGCTACCACTGAGGACAGTGTGTACAACATACCCAACCTGCCACAAAATGAGCTTCTTCATCAACAAGTTTTGCTGAGAAACAATAAAATTGAGATGGATGGGACCATCAGTCTCAATTATTAGGACAGAGTTTTCCACCCATATTATTCCTTCTGTCACATACTCTTCAGGTTCCAAAGGAGTCCCTGTCTCATACATCATCATTTTTTTAATACAAAGGCTGAAGGCCCCCAAGGGGGTCCTTCCTGCCCACAATCCCACCCTTGATGTCTGACTACCTTCAGCAGAAGTGACAGTAACAGTTCCAGCTACAAGGAAACCATTTGCATACAAATTAACCTCCAGACACAGCATAATTGCTTGAAAGGAACCTGACTGGGAATCCCTTAAACACACTTCTTTATAACTAAGTCACTGTACAAAAACAACAAGTGCAATAGTACATTCATGTTTGAATTGTGACATCCAATTTGGTCCCCTAAAAAAAAAGCTTTCAATAAGACAGGCTGAAAAAGCCGTGAGTGTTAGGTATGAAAAACAGTCATGTAATACCAATCATTTTGCTGATTTTTAATTTTACTGTGAAATTATCAATTATCCCATGGCCATTGCAAAATTGGCTTGAAAAAAAATACTTTTTACAAAACTTTTTCATTGTGTTTTTTTATGTACTTTGTAATTTTTTTTTCACTGACAGAAAAAAAGTAAAGTGAAAATACCTTGAAGAGACAGTATACAAATACATTTTTTGTTACTTTTTGACATCTTTTTTTCTTTCTGTGAAAAAGAAAATAATAAACTAATAAAATACATCCAAACTGGAAGAACAAATACTGTGTCTGTTCTTTCCCTTGTCTAATGTATTTAGAGGAAATGTCAGAATTTTCACAGAAATTTTAGCAAGGCAAAAATGATTTGCTTCACTCTTAACTAAACACTATAGCAGGAATTTATGAAAACAGGAGCAGAGAGAATCAGGAGCAGCTGTGTATAGTAACCAATCAGCTGCTTTCTTTAGCTTGTTGAAAAGTAACTTTAGAAGCTGATTGGTTGATGCACAGCTGCCCCTTATTCTGTTTGCTCCAATCTTAGTAAATTTCCCTCAATATATTTTATTTGTTTATATTTTTTAAAGCAACAAAGGGGCACCACAGTAGCTTAGTGGTTAGTACATATGCCTTGGAGCACTGATTAGAACCTCATTCAGGACACTCTCTTCATGCAGTTTGCATATTCTTCTTGTAGTTGTTTGTGTTTCCTTCCAATTTCCCTCCCACACTCCAAAGACATGCTGGTAGGGTAATTGGCTCCTGTCTAAACTGGCCTTACTGTGTACAAATTGGCTATTTATATGTGTTATCACAACAATTTTGTATAGTGGACCCCAACAATTGGGGAGGGTTGAAGAAAGGCCTGGGGACATACGCCAGCCATAGATGGAGCAAACTTTGGTTGGTTCAGCAGACGCCGGCCAAATTGTGATCCATTTATGGGTAGACTGGTTGTACAGAAGTCTATCTCTCAATCAAATTCTGTACAAGTAGCCTGTTGGAAAACTTTCACTCGATCAGTGCCACCAGTTATAGCCAGTGATGTTAATGAGTGTATTCTGATGGCTGGGAAGCATCTCTGCTGTAAGAATACATTAGCTCTGCAAAATGGATTCCCCCATCCACATTAAGTGTGTGGATGGGGGAATTAGGGGAATTGATTAAATGGTTAGCACTTCCGCCTGGCAAAACAAGGGTCATTGGTTCAAATCCCAACCATGGCACCACCTGCCTGGAGTTTGCATGTTCTCCCTGTGCCTGCATGGGTTTACTCCAGGTACTCCGGTTTCCTCTACACTCCAAAGACATGCTGGTAGGTTAATTGGCTCCTGTCTAAATTGGCCCTAGTATGTGTATGTATGAATGTGAGTTAGGGACCATAGATTGTACGTCCCTTGAGGGTTAGGAACTGATGTGAATGAACAACATATATATGTAAAGCGCTGTGTAAATTGACGGCACTATATAAGTACCTGAAATAAATAAATAAAGTTTCTTTCATTCAACCCGCTGGTTGAGTGAAAGAAAATGAATCATGTATGGCCAGCCTTACCCTGTAAACAAATTCTGTGGAAAAGGCTCTTATCCATATCAGTCATGGTGCCCAGAGAGCTGGCTGCCAAGAGTTGAATTCATCTAAACTGACAGGTACATACATAGCCTCTGAATTTAGCATCAACAGTTTTATAGAAAAGAGGATTTAATAGCATTCAAGGATAAATGTATGCAATTTTTGGGAACTTATTAGAACAGAAGATACAGTGGGGCAAAAAACTATTTAGTCAGCCACCAATTGTGCAAGTTCTCCCACTTAAAAAGATGAGAGAGGCCTGTAATTGGCATCACAGGTAGACCTCAACTATGAGAGACAAAATGAGAAAAAAAATCCAGACAATCACATTGGCTGATTTGGAAAGAATTTATTTGCAAATTATGGTGGAAAATAAGTATTTGGTCACCTACAAACAAGCAAGATTTCTGGCTCTCACAGACCTGTACCTTCTTCTTTAAGAGGCTCCTCTGTCCTGCACTCATTACCTGTATCAATGGCACCTGTTTGAACTTGTTATCAGTATAAAAGACACCTGTCCACAACCTCAAACAGTCACACTCCAAATTCCACTATGGTGAGGACCAAAGAACTGTCGAAGGACACCAGAAACAAAATTGTAGACCTGCACCAGGCTGGGAAAACTGAATCTGCAATAGGCAAGCAGCTTGGTGTGAACAAATCAACTGTGGGAGCAATAATTAGAAAATGGAAGACATACAAGGCCACTGATAATCTCCCTCCATCTGGGGCTCCACGCAGGATCTCACCCCGTGGGGTCAAAATGATCACAAGAACAGTGAGCAAAAATCCCAGGACCACACGGGGGGACCTAGTGAATGACCTGCAGAGAGCTGGGACCAACGTAACAAAGGCTACCATCAGTAACACTATGCCGCCAGGGACTCAGATCCTGCAGTGCCAGACGTGTCCCCCTGCTTAAGCCAGTACATGTTTGGGCCCCTCTGAAGTTTGCTAGAGAGCATTTGGATGATCCAGAAGAGGATTAGGAGAATGTCATATGATCAGATGAAACCAAAATAGAACTGTTTGGTAGAAACACAACTCGTCGTGTTTGGAGGAGAGAGAATGCTGACTTGCATCCAAAGAACACCATACCTACTGTGAAGCATGGGGGTGGCAATATCATGCTTTGGGGGCTGTTTCTCCGCAAAGGGACCAGGACGACTAATCCATGTACAGGACAGAATGAATGGGGCCATATATCGTGAGATTTTGAGTGCAAACCTCCTTCCATCAGCAAGGGCATTGAAGATGAAACGTGGGTGGGTCTTCCAACATGACAATGATCCCAAACATACCACCCAGGCAACGAAGGAGTGGCTTCGTAAAAAGCATTTTGAGGTCCTGGAGTGGCCTAGCCAGTCTCCAGATCTCAACCCCATAGAAAACCTTTGGAGGGAGTTGAAAGTCTGTGTTGCCCAGCGACAACCCCAAAACATCACTGCTCTAGAGGAGATCTGCATGGAGGAATGGGCCAACATACCAGCAACAGTGTGTGCCAACCTTGTGAA